CGACTACGGCTACGACCACGACTACGACTACGACCACGACTACGACTACGACTACGACGACGACGACGACTACCGCTACTACTACTACTACTACTACTACTACTACTACAGCACCACCACCACCACCACCACCACCACCACCACCACGACGAGGACAACGGCTACTACTGCTACTACTGCTGCTACTGTTGGTACTGCTACAACTGCTACCATTGCTGCTACTGCTACTACTGCGATTTCTTTCACCGGTACTACTGCTACTACTGCTAGTGCGACTGTTAGACGACTACTTCGATTACGAACTGTTGCCAGGTGGACTTCGGTCACGTGGCACGTTGTCCTGGAATTGGGCTTACCGGAGCACACTTGGCAAATAAATACCGTGCTTCCTAATTCCGTTCTGCAACCCCAAATCTTATCCATAAGCTGCCCTAAGCCCAACGCGACCGTCGTGGCTGGTTGCAGGGCGAGCTCATCGGGGGTGGGGCGGATTTCGTGCAGAAGATCTGCCTCGAGAAATTCGGCATACCAGCCTCTTGGGCGAAGTCAGTGAAGGAATTTCAAGCTTGGAATCCAAGAGGTTAGTACATATAGGCGTGGGAATTAATAGTAATGTGTTTCAAAGACGTCTTCAAGAGCTTGGGGGTCGTCTTGGATGAAACATAACGCGGGTTTAGGGTTTAGGGCTTTCGGTCAGAGGTTGTCCAGGGTTGTCGGGTTTAGGTTTTTGGGGTTTAGGGTTTACCTTAACCCCAGATAACCTAGCTTTTTCAGGCATTGTATAGAGAAACCATGACAAGGAACCCTAAAAAGGTAGGTTCTTTAAAACTTTAGGGTGCAGGTAAGAAGCCCAGGCCCTGATCCAGAAAAACCCCAATCCCTAACGGGCCTCGACGAGAAGCGCTCCGGACAAAGGAGCCGCCAGCTGTCACCGAGCCTGTCTTCAGGGAGATTGCAGCCGAAAACCTGAAGAAGGCCTGTGTTTTTCGGCCTCGACATAGATTGAAACGAGGCATCAAAGTGTATGAGCCAACTTGTGCGTGTTGGATGGTTACAGTTTTGCCGAGGGTGTTTACAGTCCACCGTAACTCATAGAATGCACAAGGCCGTTGGTATTTTGGGGAGCAGCCAGGTGAAACTCCAACTCCAGCGAGCGCGAGCCTTATGCGTACTGGAGTGCTTTCCTGGCACACATCCGGTCATAGTATATAGGGGCCTTACATACTGGAAATAAAGTCTTGCTGTCTATAATTGTACTGCAGTAGACCCCCAAGCCCTACTCTACTTGCTAAGTCCCTGTACTAGGACTCCTTATTTCCCAGACACTGTGGTGCATGCTACGACATTGCGCTGTGTTCGTCCGAGACCCCTGCGACAGGAGGTTTCCCAGGACGCACCTTTTGCTGGGGTGCGGTGCATATATATATATATATATCATTATATATCTACACATGTTGCACCGATGCCCAAGCAATACACAGGACCGTCGAGCCCCGTTCCCAGGAAAGCCGAATCCAATGTAAATTCCAACTCATTGGCCGCAGTTTGCCCTCGAAAATTTCCGACTCCAGGTAGAACTCCTAAACCCTTAACCCAAGCATGCTGGCCGTGCTCCTGAATCCTGCCAGTATATGACGGGAAGCAGCAGCACCCCCGGCCCTGAATCCCGCCAGTTCATGGGTGATAACATGGTGGTCATGTCTCTGAATACGCCATTGCGTGAGTGCTTGGCCGTGTCCTGGTGGTATTCTGGTGGTGTCCCGGTGGCGTTCTGGTGGTCTGCTGGCGGTCTCCTGGTGGTCGTGCCCGTCCTGGTCGTCGTAGTCTGGTGGTCCTCGTCGTGGTCGTGTTGGTCGCCCTTGTTATCTTGGTCGTCGCCAATCGTGGTCGTTATGGTCGTCGCGGTGCTCTATCCCTTCTTGGGAATCCATGAAGGCATTCGTTCTGACTCAGGGTGCATATTCTGTAACCACGACTGCAAGCCGTAAGCCTTAAACCCCGAACCATAGGGCTGAGAGAACAAGAAACCGACTGCTCGGGAAAGTGTGCGAAGACCCATGAGTCTAGACGTACCCAGACTTGGAGGGTTTAGGGCTTAGTGTGGGGTGTAGGTTCAGGACTACCTGCCTGAAGTCCAGAATTGAATTGGACTGCCGAGGAACAGTTTGGGCCGCCCTTGCCCGAGCGCGTCATGGCAGCGCAGCTTATTGCCAAGGCATGCAGCAAGTCGGGCTTCTCGGAGAGAGCATAAGTTCAATGGGTCATATGCAAGGGTTCGAGTGAGAGAGGGAAGGAAGCAACATGTGTGCATGGACTCGTATTGCGAGACACACTCCACATCTATGTAATGTAATGTAGTGCAGTGTAATGTAATGCGTGTATTGAATGTAGTGTATGTAGGTAGGGGTGTATGTGTGTGTGTGTGTGTGTGCGTGCGTGTGCATGTGCGTGTGCGTGCGTGTGTGTGCATGTGTGTTTAGGTGTGTATGTAGGTATGTAGGTATGTNNGTATGTAGGTATGCATGTATGTATATCACCTATATATATATACACACATGGTCAGTGTATACATAAATACGATTGGAGAGAGATAAAGCGAGACAGGGGGAAGGGGTCAATAGAGAGAGAGAGAGAGAGAGAGAGAGAGAGAGAGGGAGAGAGAGAGAGAGAGAGAGACAGGGAGAGAGGGAGAGAGAGAGAGAGAGAGAGAGA